GGCTCGGCACCCCTTCTTCCGCCATGCACCCGCTCCCGGACTGGCACATGCCAGCCTTGCCTCTGAGAGCCCACAGGCGGCTCTTTCTCTCCGTTGCTTCTCTCTCAGCCTGGCTGTGGCTCCCACAGGCTCCCTCCCCCCGCCCGCCCGGCAGAGCTCAGGTTCCCACGCCCTCGGTTCAAACCTGGCTCCCACGCTAGACATCACTTCTCCGCGCCCTGGGCTCCTCGTGCACAGAGAGAGGAACAACAGCCCCCTCGCCCCGGACCTGGTGGGAGAGAAATCTTCTCGGGAACACCAGGTGCCTGGGCCGAGCCATGCGGCAGGAGTTCTCCGAGCTCAGGGGGAGCTGCCATTTCCCCAGACACTTGCCCACTGGCCGCTCCAGAGGAAGCAGTTGCTGGGGTCCTGCAGCGACCTGCCCCCCTGGAGCAGGTGCAGGAGGAGCTGTGAGGGCATGCGGGCAGGGACGCTGCCTGGAGAGCCCTATTGCCCAGGAGGAATGAAAGGCAGGGAACTCGTAGGGAGCCCTGTGCCGACTCAACTAGATTTGGCTCTTCCTTTGGCAAACGTCTGCCTGTGTCCCCCACGGTCCTCCCCGCTGAGCCTAAGGCGGCCTGTCCTCTCTATCACCCCCCACTCCCAGCGAGGCCTTGGCTCCCGTCCCTAGAGCCAGGGCTGTCCTGAGGCCTCCTATGGTGGTGCCATGACCTGGCCTCTGGCCCACTCAGGCCAGCTGGCTCCCCCGCCTCCCCCTGCCTCCTGCTATCTTCCCCGCCCTGCCGCCTGCTCCTCCACCCCCCGGCCATGCACCAGGCAGAACATTCTGGTTCTGTGAGTGTGAGCACTTCGCCTCTGAGGGCCCCTGGCTCAGGTGCCCATGCACGAGGGCCCTTTCCTGGTCAGGAGAGGTGGGATGTCAGGTGGTCAGGGGCTGGGGCTCATGGCTCAGTCTGCCTGGTTTAGCTCCCGATTGCATCCGTTTTCCTCGCCTCTGAAACGCAGGGATGTAAAATGTTAGGCCGCGCCTGGCCTGGCCAGCCCCTCCATCAGCAGGACCCGAAGGCCAGGCCTGCACCGTCAGCCTCATAGTGCTGGCAACCATCACGTGGTGACCATCACGTGGCGTCCAGTTAGAGCAGGGCCCGTGCTGAGGGTGGGCTCTGGACGAGGCCTCAGCTCTCACACCTTCCCAGTCATGGGCCCTGGGCAAGACTCGTGCAGCCTAAGCTTCTGCCTCAGGATCTGTGAAATGAGGACATGAATGCATGAGCCCGGGGGTGGGGGTCCCTGAGCGGATCCCATTGCATGAAGCCTGCTTGGTCTGGCTTGTGGGAGTCCTGCCAGGTGTAGGTATCCCTGTCGGGCTGAGGCTCAGGGGATGGGGTGCCCTGCCCAAGGTTACAGAACAGGTTGATGGCAGAGCTGGGATTTGAACCCAGAGCTGGGTTGGCAGCTCCCCCAGCCATATCCAGAGCTCCGTACTCATGCCTGCAGAGCTCTTTATGAGGCTGGGTTTGAGGAACATGGGACGCAGGCCCAGATGCACCCCAGTTACTAGGGAGGTTCTGCTCCCCACAGGCACCCCCAGTGTGCACACCCTTCCCCTGGAGGCCAGGCATTGGTGCCCAGAGACCCCTGGGTGCGGGGAGAGGAGCCCAGAATGCTACACAGAGCCCCATTCAAATATTGGTGGGCGCGTGCTGTGAGGCACAGCAGCTTAGAAGCAGGTTGCTAGCCTGTTTAAATAAATCTTAATTGGGATATGATTCATGTATTATATAACTGACCCATTTAATGTGTATGATTCAATGGCTTTTACAAATATATTCATGCCCTAGCCGGTTTGGCTCAGTGGATAGATAGATCATTGGCCTGCGGACTGAAGGGTCCCAGGTTTGACTCCAATCAAGGGCACATGCCTGGGTTGCAAGCTCAATCCTCAGGGTGGGGCATGCGGGAGGAAGCCAATGAATGATTTTTTCATCACTGATGTTTCTATCTCTCTCTCCCTCTTCCTTCCTCTCTGAAATCAATATATATATTCAGAGCTGTATAACCATCACTACAATCCATTCTAGAACGTTTTTATCATCCCTAATAGAAGCCCTGTATCCATTAGTAGTCTCTCCCCATAACTCCCTACCCCTGCCTTAGGCAACCACTAGTCTACGTTGCAGGTGAAGAAACAGCAGGTGCAAAGGCCTAGAGGTGTCGGCTGCCTGGTGTCTGGGAGCCGAAAGGAGTTCTGAGCTGTGAGAGCATAGGGCTGGGGGGGGGGATGGGGGAGAGGCAGAGAAAGGCACAGTAGGTGGCAGGGCTGGACACAGGCACAGGGTAGGTTTATATTCTGCTTTCTTGAGGAAACTAAGCCATAAATATACATTTTTAATTAAATATATCTTAGTGAAAGTAGATTTATTTCAAAACTATTTCTAGCCGAAGAGTTATATTTTCATCTGCTTCATCTATAAGGGCAGTACCACATTACATGGTTCCATAAATACGGTCATCTTCATTTCAGTGATTGTAACAGGAAAGCTAGATGGTTTCTGAGTTTCTCCCTTAAAGGACTTGTGCATTGGTTTGTGTGTGTCTCTGTAGTAGGAATGATATTGATACACTAGGAGCTCAGTGCACAAATGTGTGCACCTTGAAAGGAACTATGGGCTGCAAGGCTGCGGTGGGCACAGGGGCGAGTCTTGGCCCATCCCCCACGCCCCCACCTGGCCCCTCCCACCGGGGCCCCCCATCCTGCCTAGTCTGTGCCCTGTCTGCCAGCAGCCCTGCTCCCGCCACCAATGCTCCCACACGCTGACAGCACTGGCCCCCGCTCGCACCCGCCAATGGCGCGAAGTGATTGGGGCCGGGACCGGCAGCAGGTGCAAGTGCCTGGTGGGACCATGGCACAGCACAGGAGAAAGAATTTTCAGTAACCACCAGAGGCTCGCCATGGCAGTGACTGGCGACCAGCCTTGGTCTGGTGCCCCCCCTCACCTGCTCCACCATCCCGCTGCTTCTGACACCCACCATGTTCTGTGCACGCCCCCTGGTGGTCAGCACATGTCATAGCAAATGAGTTTTCAGTTGTTTTGCTATTTGCATATTAGGGTTTTATATTATATATAGAGATGTGTTGCTACCTATTTAAGAATAAATCTGCCTGGCCACTGTGGCTCAGTGGTTGAGCATCAGTGGTTCAGTTCCCAGTCAGGGCACATGTCTGGGATTCTGGACTCCATCCTCAGTTTGGGGTATATGCAGGAGGTAGCTTATCTGTGATTCTCTCTCATCATTGAGGTTTCTAGCTACCTGTCCCACTCTTTTTCTGTCTTAAATTATATATATATATGCCTAAGTGACCATTATGACAGAATAATGGGAAGGACCAATCACTATGATGCACACTCAACACAGGAGCTGCCCCCAGCCCACAGGCTCGATTGCCAGGTGGCCTGCCAGCCAATCTCCTGGTCCCTCCCCCCAGCCAGCAGGCCCTGATCACCCAATCAGGGCTGGGCCCCCAGGCTGGGGTGGGGAACTGGGGGTGGGTGGTGGTGAAAGCGGGCGGCAAGGGAAGGAGGACGGGAGGTGGGGAACCTGATCAGCCTTGATCACTGGCCAGGCCTAGGGACCCCACCCATGCATGGATTTCATGCACTAAGCCTCCAGTATATATATGTATAAATATCCATTTCATGTTGACACTAGGCCACCAATTACCATTCTTCTGCCCAGTGCATTGAGTCAGTGGTAGGGGGTCATGTTCCCTGTAGCTCTTCGGGAGCTTCAGTAGGATGTGGCTCTACCAGGTCCTTATGGTTTGGATTTTCAGTAGGTGCAGCTGATGTGGAGGTCCATTTCTTTACACACAGGAAGCTTTGTGAAATGTTAGTCACAAATGCCCTATTTTGAGAAACTGTTTTGCATATGAGAAGAATACTGTTGAGATAAAAACATTATTTTCCCAGAAACTTAAGCTTTGTATATTGATCAGGGTGATTCTGAAAGTTAAAAGTATAAATGTTAGAATGTTATGTTATGGTTTTTTTTTTAATTTTTAAAAATATATTTTATTGATTTTTATTTTTTTTACAGAGAGGAAGGGAGAGGGATAGAAAGTTAGAGACATCAATCAGCTGCCTCCTGCACACTCCTCTACTGGGAATGTGCCCATTACCAAGGTACATGCTCTTGACCGGAATCGAACCTGGGACCCTTGTGTCCACAGGCCGATGCTCTATCCACTGAGCCAAACCGGCTAGGACTCTTATTGTTAATTGTACTACTACATTATGTATTCCATAGTAAATCATGGCCGAGACTGGTTTGGCTGCAGGAGGCAGCTGATCGATGTCTCTCTTTCATCAATGTTTCTAACTCTCTATCCCTCTACTTTCCTCTCTGTAAAAAATCAATAAAATATATTTTAAAAAATAGTAAATCGTGGCTCAGCAATAAAAGTTCCCCTCTTGGGGAGGGCAAAGGCCTTGAATGCCTTCGGAGCACATGGACTTGATCCTCAGGGCAGGGGAGCCCCAGATGTAAGGGGCTCCTGTGAAGTCAGACAGATCTAAGGCAAATCCCAGTTCTGCTTGCAAGAGGCCTTAGTTTTGTCTGGAAAATGCAGATGACAAGGGTAATACCTGTGTAAAGTGTTGGGGGATTGCGCTCCCATCTCTGGAGAGCTCAGCCCAGCAAATGGCAGTGGGTGCTCTCATCATCAAAGGGGCTTGAGCCAGGGGAGCTGCCGCGGTCCGAGCTGGGCCCTAAGGGGTCTGGCTGCAGACTGACCAGTCGGGGGCAGGCTGTTTGTTGTCCAGGGGATGGAGAACCAGGGCTGGCTTAGGAGGGTTAGGAGATAACCGTGCAGACTCGGAGACTTTGGGCATGGCTTGTGAATAATATCTAACTTCTGAGCGTTTGGTGAGTCCCTGGGTTGGCTCCGGGGCTGGCTTGACGGTCCCTCTCGTCCTCCCTGCAGCCCGCTCGCGGACGCCATGCGGGGGGCTCCTTCGCCCTGGTCGGTGCGGCCGCCGCTGCTGCTGCTGCTGGTGCTGGGCTGCGGGCCGCGGGCGGCCGCCGGCGGCGGGGCCGGAGCGGCGGCGGGATACGCGCCGGTGAAGTACGTGCAGCCCATGCACAAGGGACCCGTGGGGCCGCCCTTCCGCGAGGGCAAGGGCCAGTACCTGGGTGAGTACTCCCCGCCCTGCACTGGCCCCCGACGGCTGCGATCCCCGCTCCCTGCCTCCCGCCTCCACCTCAGGTCACAGCCCGTCCACCACCGCCAAAGAGCCCACATCCACGTTCTTTCTGGTGCGGCCCCGGGCTCCCACCCTCCAGGGCCTGGAGACTGCGGGCAGCGGGGTCTGTGGTGGAGGGGAGGAGGGGCGGGGGTTGTGGGGTGAGGATGGGGGGGGGGGGTCTGCTCCGACCGGCTCTGCGGACGGCTGCTGGCGCCACCTGGCGGCCGTTCCTCTCTAGTGCATGCAAGAATGCGAGGCTCCCAACCGGGATAGGTTGGGTGCTAGGAGAGCTCTGGGTGAGGAAACCCTGACACCCCCAAGGTTGCCACTGGCCCCCCCGAAACTCCATCTTCTGTCAGAGCAGGCCGTGGTCTTCTCCCAGTGCTCTCCATGCTGGTGGGGGGAGGGGTCGAAGAGTCCTCGGTCCCCACTGACCAGGCCCCTGACTGCGCCTTCTCTCTCTCTCTTTCTCTCAGAAATGCCTCTACCGCTGCTGCCGATGGATCTGAAAGGAGAGCCTGGCCCCCCTGGGAAGCCCGGGCCTCGGGGGCCCCCCGGCCCTCCTGGCTTCCCAGGCAAACCAGGCACCGGGAAGCCCGGGCTCCACGGGCAGCCTGGCCCCGCCGGCCCCCCTGGCTTCTCCCGGATGGGCAAGGCCGGGCCCCCGGGGCTCCCGGGCAAGGTTGGGCCACCAGGACAGCCAGGGCTCCGGGGGGAGCCAGGCATCCGAGGGGACCAGGGCCTCCGAGGCCCCCCAGGGCCCCCTGGCCTCCCTGGACCCACAGGCATTGCTGTTCCTGGGAAGCCAGGCCCTCAGGGGGTCCCAGGGCCCCCGGGATTTGGGGGGGAGCCAGGGCCCCAGGGGGAGCCTGGGCCCCCAGGTGATCGAGGTCTGAAAGGGGATAATGGGGTGGGCCAACCAGGGTTGCCTGGGGCCCCGGGGCAGGGGGGTGCCCCTGGACCCCCCGGCCTCCCCGGTCCAGCTGGCTTGGGCAAACCAGGTTTGGATGGGCTCCCTGGGGCCCCTGGAGATAAGGGTGCATCTGGCCCTCCCGGGGTGCCAGGGCCCAGGGGGGAGCCAGGGGCATTGGGCCCCAAAGGGCCCCCCGGGATGGATGGGGTGGGGATTCCAGGGTCAGCGGGAGTGCCAGGGCTACAGGGCCCAGCGGGGGCCAAAGGGGAACCGGGGACCCGGGGCCCCCCTGGCCTGATAGGCCCCACTGGCTACGGGATGCCAGGACTGCCAGGCCTCAAGGGGGACAAGGGCCAGGCTGGGGTCCCAGGGCTCTTGGGGGACAGGGGTGAGCCGGGTGAGGATGGGGAACCAGGGGAGCAGGGCCCTCAAGGCCTTGGGGGCCCCCCCGGACTTCCGGGGTCTGCAGGGCTCCCTGGAAGACGTGGGCTCCCTGGGCCTAAGGGGGAGGCAGGGCCCGGAGGCCCCCCGGGGTTGCCTGGCATTCGGGGTGACCAGGGGCCCAATGGCCTGGCTGGGAAACCTGGGCTCCCGGGGGAGAGGGGGCTTCCAGGGGGCCATGGACCCCCTGGGCCGACTGGGCCCAAGGGCGAGCAGGGCTTCCCGGGCCGCCCTGGGGGGCCGGGGGTGGCAGGAGCCCTGGGGCAGAAGGGTGACTTGGGGCTCCCCGGGCAGCCCGGCCTGAGAGGCCCCTCAGGAATCCCAGGACTGCAGGGCCCCGCCGGCCCCGTCGGGCCCCAGGGTCTGCCAGGCCTCAAGGGCGAACCGGGCCTGCCAGGGCCCCCCGGAGAGGGCAACGTGGGGGAGCCTGGCGTGGCTGGGCCAACGGGGCCCCCCGGGGTCCCAGGTTCCCCAGGACTCACAGGCCCTCCGGGGCCTCCGGGGCCTCCGGGCCCCCCTGGCGCCCCGGGGGCCTTCGACGAGACTGGCATCGCGGGCCTGCACCTGCCCAACGGCGGCGTGGAGGGCGCCGTGCTGGGCAAGGGCGGCAAGCCGCAGTTCGGGCTGGGCGAGCTGGCGGCCCAGGCCACGCCGGCCTTCACCGCGGTGCTCACCTCGCCCTTCCCGGCCTCCGGCATGCCCGTGAGGTTCGACCGGACCCTCTACAACGGCCACAGCGGCTACAACCCGGCCACCGGCATCTTCACCTGCCCCGTGGGCGGCGTCTACTACTTCGCCTACCACGTGCACGTCAAGGGCACCAGCGTGTGGGTGGCGCTCTACAAGAACAACGTGCCCGCCACCTACACCTACGACGAGTACAAGAAGGGCTACCTGGACCAGGCGTCCGGCGGCGCGGTGCTGCAGCTGCAGCCCAGCGACCAGGTGTGGGTGCAGATGCCCTCGGACCAGGCCAACGGCCTCTACTCCACCGAGTACATCCACTCCTCCTTTTCAGGGTTCCTGCTCTGCCCCACATAACCCACGGGCCCCGCTGCCCTGGCCGCCGCCTCCGTAGTGGTAGAGAGACCGTCTCGCGTAAGAGGAACCTGCATTTAAAGAAAAAAACCCCAGAGGCTGGACAGAGGTGGGAACGGAGGCGGCCAGGCCGTGGCCGTGGCCTTGGACTTGGCCCCGGGAGGCGGACCTGGTTTCTCCCTCCATGCAGGCGGAGGTTGCTTCTGGAAGAGGCTGGCCTGCGTGTTCCTCTCCCCGCGGTGTCTGTGCAGGGTCGGGGTGGGGACCCCATATCTGCCCTGCCTGGCCTGCAGGCAAGGCCCCGGGGCACTTGGTCCAGCTGTGGGAGACCCTGCCCCCCGAGTCCTGGGCTGTCCTGGGGGTGAAACGCTGCTTCTCTGTGCGTCAGAGCTGAGGGGACGGAGCTCCCCGTCCATCCCCTTGGGGGGACATGTTCCCAAGCCCTGCCCTTCCTGCTGGCCCCCACGTGGCACCTGCTCAAGGCATGGGGCATGGCCTCGCTGTTATTGGCCGGGGCTCTCTCAGCTCCCTGGGACCTCCAGCATAAGCAGTGGGCCCCCTGAAGGGTTTATTTCCTTCCAGGGAGAAGGGAAGGAGGGGGCCATGTGGACCCCCTGCCAGGCCTGCAGTCCCAGGGGTGAGGTGGTGGCATCAGGCATGTGGAGGTGTGTGGCCCCTGCTGCAGGCTCCTGGTAGGGCCACCCCCTCTCCTGGTGCCAGCCACGGGGAATGGTGGTTTGTGAGGGGTGGGGCGTGGGGCTGGGGCAGGATGGCAAGCCTTCGCATGCCTTTCCATCTCCTCAGCTGCCCCCACCAGCTCTGGCTCTGCTCAGCAAGAGGGCAGCTGCCCAGGCCTGGAGGGAGGGGCACAGGCAGTCCTTTCACCCCCTCGGGGAAGGAATGATTGTCTCACAAAATGTTAAGGGATCCTTGCCACCCCCCAACCTAAGTGACCCCAAAACACAGCCTCTCGTGTAGCCCTCAGAACAAGGTGCACACAAGCTCAGGCATGAGACTCTGCCTGCTTTTCCCTAATGAAAACCACATGCATGTGTGTGTGTGTGTGTGTGTGTGTGTGTGTGTGTGTGTACTAAAGGGGTTAGCCTGGGGGGGCCTCCTCTCCTCCCACCTCTGGTTCCAATTTCCTGTTCTAAGCAGGATTAGGGCCCAGGAGGCTGAGGCTCTGGGAGCAGAGGTGCCAGCAGGCCCCTTTGGAATGAGCTGGCTCTGGATGTTCCTGCCCTTTCCCCAGCCAGAGCTCCCCTGCAGGAAACAGGCCTGTCTCCCTTCCCCTTCTCCCTTCCCTCAGCGCCTAGTTTGAGCTGAGTGGATGAAGCTGGGATTCGGGCTGGGGCAGGGAAGGTGGACACTTGCCCATGAAGGATAGCCACTCTCCCGGTGGCTTGGGGCCGCCCCATCAGCCCTCCCGAAGCCAGCCCCATCTCTGGACCAAGTGTGAGCCTGGTTGGTCATCGGCACCTGGTTGCACTGCCCGGCCTGGCGGGGCCAGAACGTCCAGTTGAGAATGGAGGGTGGAGGGTGACTGCCGATTCCGACTCGCTGAGCCGGTCCTCTTCCCACCAACTTCTCCCAACAAAGCAGACCGTTTGACTGCTCATGCTAATGCTCAAGAGGAAAAATGAAAACCAATCTGCCCAAGTGACACACTAAGAACAGGCTTTGGTAGGGGTCCACAGTGGGGTTCTCACTCCCAACACCCAGGAGAGCTGTCTCACACCGCACCTGGCAGGCCTTGTGCTCAGCCCCCTCCCGGGGCCACAGCCCCGCCACCACCTGACCCGTTGGGGAGGGCTTCCCATGGGCAGGAATTCGCCAGCTCCCAGTGAGAACCGGGGCTCGGAGGAGGATGTGGGGAGCCACAGAGGCTGCTTCACAAGAGTGTCTGCTTAATCACTCCGGCGGCCTTTGGAAGGGGGGCCGGTGCTTCAAAATGCCACATCCCAGGTGCTGTCTACTTAACTGGCTAGCTTTGGTAAATGATGTCCGGTTTTAACCATGAAAACTACATTGTGCATTTTTATATTCTGATTCCTCATTTTTTTTTTTTTTTAAGGTTAAGGTTTTACTATTTCCCATTTAGTGATTTCATTTCTAACCTGGTAGAAGCAGCTTAGTTCTCTGCATACCTACGAAGTGCCCTGGGTCACAGAAGATTCAGAACAATTGCACTGGGGAGTCAGAGAAAAGGGGGCTTCTTTTTGAAAAGAAAAACAACAGCATGGACTGTTGACACGGCCTCAATAAAACCTGTTGTGTAAAACTGCGCGTGCGGAGACTGGCATTGACGCAGAGGGGGCTCAGGCTGGCTCTCTCTCCTCAGGCACCCAGAGAGCTCACTCTGTGCCCTCAGGGAGCTGCCAGCCTGGTTTCTGTCGCCACATCAGAAACACTCCACGCTCTGAGGCTGCCAAGAAGCATTTTCAGAAACCAAAGCAAGCAGGGACTGGGGCTGGGGGAGAGGGATCAAGCTTCCCTGGAACATTCCTGCAAGCGCTCAGGGGTAGTGGAGCATGACAGCTGGCTCAGGACCCCAAGGGCCAAGTTTCAGCATCTGATACAAATTATGAATGAAATTATGACTCTTTGCTCTTGGGGGCGGGGCTGGTGCCAGGCCCAGTGCTTCTAGCAGGGCCCACAGAGCTGTCCCCAGCTGTGGGGTGGGGATGGCATATCTGAGAAGTCCTGTGGTTTGCCCAGCCTGGCAGAACACTCTTGGCTGAGAGCAAACCCGCCCAGCTGTCCTGAAACCTTGGGCTAGCTGCAGAGGGCACGCTCCTCTCCCTGGGGCTGGAAGGATGCCCCCGATGTTGGATGGAGGTGTCTCCTCCCTCTCAATCTTCCTTTCTTTGAAATGAAGAGCGCGCAGAACTTCCTAACCAGCGAGGAGGCCTGTGTCTGGGGCCCAGGAGGCAGGTGAGGCACAGCTTTCAGTCCACCCGGAGCACCTGGGACGATGCACCTTCCCACCACAGGCTGCCAGTCCAGTGGAAGAGGTACCCTCCGCCGCCCCCTCCAGGGCTCTTTCGGCCTGGCTGGGGCGGGGCCTATCTGGGAGAACATCTGCCTGTTTTTGCCCTGGCCTGGGTCACTCTGCCATCTCCAACAGGAAACGGCCCCAAACCATGACTTCTGCCCTTCCTGGGCGAACGGCACTGTGGGAATTTGCCCTGACAGCCCAGTGGCTCATCGCCTCAGGGTCCCAGCGCTGAGGAGAGCACAGCCCACAGAGGCACTAGACAGGAAAGGTCAAGGGGGAGCGTGCATTCAGGGCAGAGGAGAAACAGGAAACTGGTGGGATTTCCCAAAAACAGTTTATTGCTGTGGCTTCCGCTGGAAGCTGTAACAAGCCCAAGACCGCCCCGGCCAGGTGTGTGTGAAATCAGAGATTCAGGCGCCTGGACCATGGAAACCTGCTGCTCTCAGTCCTGCCCAACTAAGGACAGGTGTCCTGGAACACGGACTAAATCCCAACAGGGAGAATGGATGCCACGCAGGCCATTTTCTCCCCACCCCATGTCCTAGGTCAGTGGTCAGCAAACTGTGGCTGGCGAGCCACATGTGGCTCTTCGGTTCCTTGAGTTTTTAGCAAAGGCCAGCTTAGGAGTACTCTAATTAATAACAATGGACCCACCTATATAGTTTAAGCTTAAAAAAATTTGGCTCTCAAAAGAAATTTCAATCGTTGTACTGCTAATATCTGGCTCTGTTGACTAATGAGTTTGCCGACCACCGGGCTAGATAAAAGGAAAATGCCACACGTACCCACCAATAAACCTGCCCGGCTTCCTCGTGTCTGAGGAGCCGTGGTGCCCAGGCTCTGCAGTGAGCCAGCAACCCAGCACCAGGGAGCCCCAGCCCTCACTCCCTGCTCCGGGGACCTCCCGGACCCCAGCCCCGGAGGCAAGGAAGACTGAGGCCGGGGGCAAAGCCCAAAGAAACGCAGGGTGTCCAGCCTGAGCTGTCGCTGGCCCCACTGGACACGGCAGAGCCCCGGCAGCTGGGCCCTCACAGACTCTTCTGGAAGACCCGGTGCAGGCTCTGGGCCAGGATGTCGGTCTCCTCGTAGCCCTCACAGCTTTGCTGCCAGCTCTCTGGCACCTGTTCCATCCCGTAGTAGGCGCCGGCAATGGCCCCTGCCATGGTGGCAATGGTGTCTGTGTCCCCACCAAGTGAGATGGAATAGATGAGAGTCCTTTGGAGGCTGTTGAAGGTGGAGGGGATCTCGGGGTCGGGCTCCATGCAGCGCAGGAAGCAGTAGATGGCGGTGGGCACAGATTCAAAGGCGGCAATGCCATTCCCTGTGGGGACACCAGAATATGGGGACTCCACACCCCCACATGTCCCTGGGGTTCCTGCCACTTGCCACAAGTCTAAGGTGACCAGATGGCCCGATTTTGAACAATTTGTCCCGTGTCCCGCGGCGTTTTAAAAAAGTCCAGAAGATTTAAAAGAATCTTTCCAAAAATCGGGACTTTTTAAAAACGCCGTGGGAACGCGGGACAAATTGTTAAAAATCGGACTGTCCCGCCAAAAGTGGGACTTCTGGTCTCCTTACCCAAGTCAACACTCCGAGCTACAAGTTGGGCTGTGACTCAGGTCACAGGCCCTATAGGTACACTACTGGGTTCAAATCGGGCTCCCCACCCCCTGCTGGGTGGCTGGGAACGTTCCCTAGTGACCTTGGTTCCTGCACCTTGGGTTTGACACCTACAGAGGGAATCAGGTTACGAGCTCCCGGGACTCGCCTGAGGATGAAGGAGACCAAACAGACACAGCGCTCTGCAGAGCGCCCAGAGCACACGGAACCTGCCATTAACCCACCAATGCTGTGAGGACGGTGGCCACCGGCCACTGCTGGGGATCGTGATCTGTGAGGCCGAAGGAGCTGCAGCCCCAGAGCAAGAAGACGCTAAACTCCCTCAAAACCTGCCAAGGACCCTGCAGAGCTGGCTCTGCTGTCACAGCAGCCCCGGCAAACAGGCGATGGCAGGTCTGCCTCCTCGCTCCCCTCCCGTCCTGAGCCCAAGCCTGCCCCTAGAGGATAACGGAGTGGGTGTGGGTGTGGGGACTACTCACCCAGCTCGGACACCACCTCCTCTCTGGTCACTGCGTCCTGCTCTAGAAGCTCTCCGATCTTCTTCAGTCGGCTGGAGTACGGATGCTCCTCCATGCCCAACCTGTGAAGGGGGGGGGGGGCAGTGGTAAGATTGTGTGAGAGGTGAGAGGGTCGTGAGGGAGGGGGAGGAGGGATGCAGTCAGGCTGACACCCAGGCCCAGGTGTCCTCACAAGAGGGAGGGGACTGGGTGTGAGCCGCTCGTTTCGTGGGACCCCGAGCCTTGCGTGAAGCCCAAACCCGGCCAAGGGCCTCTCCGCCCCTCCCAGGGTGGGCAGTTACAGAAGGAGGGCTCTGGTGTGGCAACGCCAGAGGTGCCCACGCCACAGGCAGGCACACCCACACACACGCCTCCAGCCGTCTCCACACCACATACTCACTCCCTGGCATCCGAGACGGACTGGACGTCACTCTCCAGCTCTTCCATGTGGCCCAGGAGTTGCTTGAGGAAGCGCTCACTGGACGACTCCCCCTGCAGAGCCAGGTGCACGGCCAGGGCCTGCAGGATGGCGCCGTTGTAGCCCAGGGAGCTGGCGTGTGTCAGCTGGGCCGAGAGCCGGGCGAACTAGGGCAAAGGCAGAGGAGGCTGAGACCTGCCGTCACAGAACCTGGGGTGGGGCTGGGCGAGGGGACAGCCCAGAAGCCCGGCTGCCCAGACTACCTTCTGCACGTCCTGGATGCTGCTGTAGGCCAGGGAGATGCCAGCCACCCGCATGGCACCCCCGTTGCCATAGGAGCCCTTCCCGTTGAACTGGGCCCGGGCAGGCTCATAGACGTCCCGGCACTTGGGGCTCAGGAGCTTCTTGAAGACGGTGATCACTCCGGCACCGTAACCCCGGTCAGGGTCTTTCTTGTACTCCTGAGCGAACCTAGGGATGGAAAGGACACGGGATGAGGCTTGGCGGACGCCTGCCAGGGCTGGAGAGAAACCCGCTGGTGTGGGAGCTGAGGAAGTCCCGGGACCCGGGGAGCCTGCGGCGGCAGGGAGGACAATTCTAGCTCCCGAAGCCCAGTGGCCCTAGAAACAAGTTTCCTGCCGAGGGTGGGGGTCCCACATGCGTGACATCGCTGCTCTGGTCAAGGGGTGCAGTAACGCGGCCCCCCTGGTTTGCCTCACCCTCACCTGTGAGCCATGTCTACCTCGTCGAAAGCCTCCTTGGACAGCAGGGACTGCACGAGGGCCCTGGACATGGCGGTGTCGTCTGTGTAGTACAGAGCTTCTGCGGGGACAGGTGGGGAGGGAGGGAGGGAGCTCAGAGTGGCAGCTCTGGCCTCGCGCTCATTCCCTTCACGCACCACTTCCAGAATGCCACGTCCGCCTCGCCCTCCCACCGTTTCCTGGCCTCTGGGTCTTGGGATTTTCAGCAATTCTTTGTTCTGAGACAGGGACCATGTCCTGCTCATTTCTGAAAGAAATCCTCCCGCCCCCTTCTGGCTGCCATCCCTGCAGCCTACTCTTAAAAAGAAAAAATTGTATTTTTATTGATTTCAGAGAAGGGAGAGGGAGAGAGAGATATAGAAACATCAATGATGAGAGAGAATCATTGACTGGCTGCCTCCTGCACACCCCTCACTGGGGATTAAGTCCGCAACCCGAGCACGTGCCCTTGACCAGAATCAAACCTGGACCTTTCAGTCTGCAGGCTGACGCTCTAGCCACTGAGCCAAACTGGCTAGGGCAGTGCTTCTCTTTTTTCCCTATTAATTTATTTCAATTTTATTTTTTATTGATTTGAGAGAGGGGGAGAGCAATTTGTTGTTCCACTTATTTATGCATCCATTAGTTGATTCTTGTATACCTTCGTGTATCAGGATGACACTGGGCTGCCCGGCCAGGGCCTGCAGCTCTAGTCTTAATACGACCTGCTTTGGGCCTCTCAAATTTCCTGCACATTTCCTACCCTGCAGCCCATCCTCCACATACAGTCAGATAATTTTTCTTAAGACTAGACCATCACTTTCCTCATCTCACTCTCCTGCTCAAAATGGCTACTGGTTTGCCTTCAGGATGAGGCCCAAATTCACTGCTGTGGTATTCAGAGCCCTCCCTCCTCACTCATCTCAGGTCCCACCATTCCTCTACATGTTCCTAGGATCAGCCTTGGAGCCTGGGTCAAGTCATTTCCAACTGGGACTGCTCCCCTCCCTCCTCCACCCTCACTCCCTCCTCTGGGTGCCCAGGAGTACTGCTCTGGCATGTTCAACGCAGCACCATTGTGTATGTGGTGACTTAGCCAATAGGGCTAAGGCTAGGGACTGGGTTTTGAGGAATCGGTTACAGCCCGGCAGTGTGGCTCAGTGGTTGAGCATCAATCTAAGAACCAGGAGGTCTAGGTTCAATTCCCAGTCAGGGCAAATGCCCAGGTTTCGGGTTCAATCCTCAGTATGGAGCGTGCAGGAGGCAGCCGATCAATGATTCTCATCACTGATGTTTCTCTCTCTCCCTTCCTCTCTGAAATCAATAAACACACACACACACACACACACACACACACACACACACACACACACAAAGGTCCTTACATCTGGTCTTCACCTCATCTCTCCCCTCTTTGTACCAAATCATACTCGATTTTCTCATTTTCCATTTCCTCCTAAACCCACTGGAATCTAGCGTCCAGGCTTCTACGAAAATGCTTTTCTAGATCCAGACTTCTCTCTTCTTCCCGGCTCTGTAGCATCCCAGTGCCCAGAATCTTCACCTTGAAATGTTCTCAGGTTTTGTTGATACCCATGCCGCCTACTTCTGCTATCAAACTGCTTCTCTAGCCCCTCTTCCTTATGCACCACATCTTCTCCAGGAAGCATCAGCCACTGCCCGACCTCAGACGGGATCCTGAGCTGGGATCTGGGTGAGGAGTTGGTTGCACAGGGGGTCGGGGAGTGCCTTCGCCAGCATAAGGGCCGCCGCCGGCACGGCCTGGTCTAAGGGAGGCGGGATGTGCGCGGGGCCGGCGGCGGAGGAAGCCGGAGAGGAGCGGCCTGGCCGGACGCGCTGAGGAACTGAGCTCTCTCCTCCGGGAAAGTCACTGCGGAGCCTCCTGCGAGGGGCGCCGCCGCAGGTCTCCGTGTGGGAAGCACACTCGCTGCTGTGTGGAGAGGCCTGGGGCCACTGATTTGGGACAACTGGGCGGAGACGGGTAAACCCAGAGGGTGTGAGGCCGGACCCGCGCGACTTCGGGTTCCGCCGGCGCGTCCCGGAGGACGGGGTCGCCACGCCCGAGGCGGGAAAGGTTCGGGCGAGACGCGCGAGGACGGAGCGTGGATGTGGACACGCTGAGCCCGAGGAGCCCGCGCGGGCCGTGCAGGCCCCGGAGCCGCCCCCCGGAGCCGCCCCTCCCCACACCCCCGTCCCGACCGCGCTCCGGCCGCCCGGTCCCTCCGGGAGCCCCGGCGCCCGGGCCCCGGCGCCCGGCCCCGCCCACCTGTCCGCGCGCTGCCCGCCGCGCCGGACTCGGGCTCCAGGCTCTGGACGTGACGCAGCACTGACGTCAGGCTGACGGTGTCGTGCGCCTCGTAGATGGCGCCCACGCAGTCCCCGAGCAGCGCGCCCGCCAGGCAACCGCGGAAGCGGGAGAGGGAACGGGCCGCCCCAGCCCCTCCGCAGCTCGCCGCCGCCATCGCCGCCGCCGCCGCCATCCGCGCGGGCCCGCCACCACTTCCGGTGCGACCTGCACGCGCCTCCCCGCGCCTCCCCCACCCCGGCGGCCTCGCACCCCAGCACCTCAGCGCCCCCTCGTGGCTCTGAATCGCGGCGCCGCTTGCGACCCACAGCGCCACCCAGCGGCCCGGAGGCGCAGCTCCGCGTGCGTGGGACCGGGGTAGGTCCGGCACCGCTGGTTGGCTTCCACCAGGCCTCTGCTTGTAGGCCTCCTTCTCCCCACCTGTAACCGGTGTCACGCCGGGCGAACGGCCACTAAAGAGTCCAGGAGGGGCTATCGGAGCGCGGTAGCTCTGCCCTTCAGGCCACTGCCACCCGGGTCCTGCCTTTATGAAAGTCTCTTTGTCCCCTCACCCCAGCCCCAGTTCTTGGTCCCCGACTCCCATTGGGATCATAGCCTTCTTTGGGGCTTCCTTAGGCATCAAGAGAGCAGTTAAGGGTCCTGCTGAGGCTTGGCTGGTTCAAAATCATGCCACTGGAGCCCAGGGGGTGCTGGCCTACACCTGAGAGGACCCTCAAGAGGGAGAAGGGATCAGATTTGGAACATGGAGCTTGGGGGATGATGGTCCCTGTTTATGCCTCTCCATTCACAGGAGGGCCAATAGCCTTCTCACGCTCCGCTGGCTGCATGCAGGGGTAGCAGAAAACCTTCTAGACTGAGAAACCCAACATTTATTAGATTCATTCTATCTCCTTCCTCTTCCATTTCCCTCCTAACCTCTATCTCCTTCATTCTCTCCCCCACCTCACCCCCCCCCCCCCCCCCCCCGCCTCCTCAGCCTCCAAGGCTAGGCTAGCTGCAGCTGGCAGCTTTTGAGTGGACTCAGGGTACGGTTTGTGGTGCGGTTGAAGGTGTCCACCTCAGGCACAAACTTCTCGGCTGGCACCGTCAGCTTCCGGCGAGTGTCCATGCACTTGGTGTCCAACAGCATGGAGTTGGCCTTGCAGGCGATGTCAGCCTGCAGCCGGGCCAGGTGCTTGAACAGGGCATCCAGAGCATTCCTGAGGGGGGAGGCAGCAACAACCCACCACCCCGCGTGAGGCTGGAAGGTGAAGGAAGCCAGCAGGCAGCAAGGGGCCCCATGGGTGAGAGGTGTCTCCCTGCCCCTCCGGCCCACTCCCCAAACCTACTGTGCTTGTGCCAACTTCTGCCTCAGGGCAGCGATGGTTGCCTCTAACTGGTGAACCTCGTCGGTGAGGCCATACTGTGCCTGGAGGCAGAGGTGAGGGTTGGGGGTCAGCCATGCTAGCCGTTAGCCCACAGGCCTGGGCACCCCCGCTCCACCAAGAATTTGTGCTGGGGACTGAGTGGTCCTGAGGAGACGTTGGGGGGGGCAGTGCCCCATTGGGGTCCCCTCGCACCTGGTCCCGGCAGAGTTCCACGTTGGGCCGGTAGGTTCTGGACTCGAGCCGCGTATGGCACAGCTTCAGGTTCAGGAACTTCCTGCGCAGATCTTCCTCCAGGTGCCGGATGTCCTCCTGCAGGTCCGCGATCTCCTGCAAGGTCTGCGGGGAGTGTGTGTGTGTGTGTGTGTGTGTGTGTGTGTGAGATCTCCAGTGGCCGCACCCCCCACGGCACACCCAGGGCTTGCAGGACCAACGCTGGTCGTCTCCTCCCACAGCGGGAAGTCCCAGCCCCAGGAGACGAGTGGAGAAGGCTCACATTCTTCTCTTGCCACTTGAGCTCACTGTAAAGTTTCTCCATCTCCCGCAGCCGCTTTCTGAAGGCAAATTCCGTGGCAACCCTCTGGGCTTCAAGTTCATTGTTGGTCTGAAGGACGAGATGTAGGCCGGGCAAGACAGGGTCTAAGTTCATGACCATCTTGAGGATGTTGCTCAAGTGAAGGGTTGGGATGCCCCATGGCCAACAGGGGACAGAAGCTTAAAGGCTTGAGGGCATCCTCGGGCCACCCATGAGCCATGGGAGGGCAGGGTCAGGGGAGGGGCCAGTTACCTCAGCAATAGTGAGGGCGATGGCCTCCCTCAGGTCTGCGGCCTCTTTCATCTCAGCCTCTGCCCGGTTCTTGTTGAACCGACTAAATTCATCCCACTCCTGAAGCGCGGTGGAGCTGCGGGTGGCGGGACACAGGGGGGTCATAAGAGTATGGCCACTGTGGGGGTGCGGGGAGGAGAGACTGAAACACTTCTTACCCGTCAGGGACACGTGTGGGGTTAATCTTCAGAGAGATGTTTGGGGACTTGAGGTTGAGAGAGAGGCAACCTCTGTCAATGTCCAGTGTCTCCATTTTGCCCCGATGGTCAGAGTTGAGCTGTTGTCGGACGTCCTGCAGGACGCTGGGGCAGGAACAGCCAAGCTCAAGACCCATCCCGCCGAGGCCCCAAGGACGTAGCCCCCATTGTGCTCGAGGGCCTGGCGGGTGGGGGAGATGGGGAGGCTGGAGTGACAATGGAGCTGCTGCCACTGCAGCCGAGACAAAGACCAGCATAGTTGGATAAGCTCCTCACAGACAAAACTATGACACTCACGTGCTTACGACCACACGCGTTCGTTGCACTCACCAAGGCTCACACACACAATGGGGTGCTCAGTCAGGTTGGTGGCAAATGGGCTTCATCTCCCACGCTTCCCGTCCATCGACAGTGGCTCCCTAGAGCCGTATTCTGAGACCGTGTCCAGGCAGGGGAGGAAGTGGCATCATCGGCTAGTGGTGTTTGCCACGGGCACAGCAGGGACCGAAGGTCCCCCACAGTACGAATGCTCTGCTCCCAGGACACACAGCCCTCACGTGCAGGGAGCTCGAGGACGCCGCTCCCTTACCAGAGCTTCTCAAACGTCTGGCCTATCTTCTGCTGCAGGGCCCGCCGGGTGGCCTCAATGGTCTCCACCTCCTTGTGCAGCTCCTCCTCCACAGGGTCCTTCACCACGTCGATGTCCCGCCGGCTGTCCCGCAGGGTCAGGCACTGGATCGCCACATCCAGGGGCAGGTTCTTGGCCTGCAGGTTCTGCTCTGCCAACTCTTTCATCTAGAACAGAAAGGCACTGGAGGCTGCTGGGCCCTTCCCCGAGAAGCAACTCTCATTCCCACTTTTTTATTTTATTTTATTTTTTTAAAATATATTTTTATTGGTTTTTCACAGAGAGGAAGAGAGAGGGATAGAGAGTTAGAAACATCGATGAGAGAGAATCATCGATCAGCTGCCTCTTGCACACCCCCTATTGGGAATGTGCCCCCGCAGCCTTTCAGTCCGCAGGCTGATGCTCTATCCACTGAGCCAAACCGGTCCTGGCTATTTTTTTTTATTTAAAAAAATATATATTTTATTGACTTTTTACAGAGAGGAAGAGAGAGAGAGTTAGAAACATCGATGAGAGAGAATCATTGATCAGCTGCCTCTTGCACACACACCCCTGGGGATGTGCCTGCAACCAAGGTACATGCCCTTGACCAGAATCGAACCTAGGACCTTTCAGTCCATAGGCCAATGCTCTATCCACTGAGCCAAACCGGTTTCGGCTCCCACTTTAACAGAGGGGCCAGGGAGTGGCTCAGGTGCCCGTGTCACTCACTGCCCCAGGAAGGGTTCCCTGACCTCCAGGTGGGGAGAGAGGGGAGGTCCTGGCTGCCTGCGGGGTCTCCTGGCACCCCGCCCTAGCTTCCTGCCTGTGTCAGGGCGTCGATCTCCGCATCTAAATCCGTCAGACACTTGTCCAGCATCTCCTTCCACCGGTTGACCGTATCAACCCTCTCCGCCAGCCGAGTCCTGTTGTCACGTTCATCCCAGATGGTCTGGAAGAGACAGAGCCGGTGAGGAGGGCGTGTGGGGGCGGGGCCATCCCTTCGCCCACCTGAGCTCCTGTTCTCCACCTGGTTGTTGGTCTCATTGCGGAGGATGCGGGCCTCCTGGCGGATCTGGTGAGACGCATCTCGCTGCCGCTCCGCGTTGGTGGACAGCAGGTAGCTGTTGGTGTGCCATTCCTGCAACTGGAAGCGCTGGCTGGGCTTGACGCTCAGCGTGGCCATGGCGCTGAGGCCCTAGGCCAGTTCCAAGACACCCACCGCCTCTGCTGGAGAGGAGAAGCAAGGTCTAGTCCGTCCTCTCCTAGATCCAAAGCTCCCTCCAGGGACCAGGCCACGTGGGAGTCTGTACTTGTTCTTTAATAAATTTCCACCTTCACTATAAAATAAAAAAACAAACAAACAAAAAAAACTCCCCTCCAAAGGACCTGCTCCTGTCCCTTTTGCTCCCAAACCCTCGCTGCAGGAAGCCTGCTTGGGAACAGCTCTCCCATTTGCTCACCTGTGCGGCTTTCACTAAGTGTCCTCCCACCCATCCATCCACACACACACACACACACACACACACGCACACGCCTGGACCCTGCAGGTCCCGGACTCGGAGCAGGGTGTGTGTGCTGCCGAGTGCTTAGTGGGGCTGGTGGTGGGTGGGGGTTAGCAGGAATAATAGCCCTTAATCCAGTTTCCACCCCCTACTTCCAGCAATCAGGTCCTGGGGAGCTTTCTTTTCTTTCTCCGCCCCAGCTCTGCTCAGGACCTGCGCGGGTTCTAAGAAAACCGGCCCTGTTCTCCATCCAGAGAGGGGGGCTCGTTTTGCAGGGAGTATGGGCTGGCACAGAGGAGCGTTGTTTTTTTGGAAGGGCGGGATGCGCTTGTCCCCTCCCCACCTGTCACCATACCCCCTCAGCCCCTGTTGGAGGAGGAGCAGCCGGGCCCTGTCCGGTTCCCAGGCGCACCCCACCACTCCCTCCCCCAGGGTAATCCTTTTGGTTTAAATTAATACCCCGGCGGCGGCGCAGAGAACGAAGGAGGAGGGAGAAAGGGAGGGAGCGCGGGCCTGGGTGTGAGTCCTCACAGCGTCCCAGCTCCCCTAGCCTCTCGCCTCCTTCCCAGCTCAGAAGGCCGCCAGCTCCTCTGTTGCGCACCCGGTTGCTAGGCACCCGCCTATCAGCGCGCTGGTAACCAGCACCCTCGTGTTTACC